ACACACACACACACACACACACACACACACACGATTCAATTTTACTTTTTCTTGATATCTCGTGTTTCCAGGCCCTGCTGTCACACACATTTTGTCATGTTTTCTATGGTTGAGTGTTAGAATATTTTGGACAGCAATGATTTATCAACTTTACAATACATATTGGGTAAGCTTTGTTCACTATTTTATGGAGATTAGAAGTGTGAACACGCTCGTCAAGTTTGCTGTCTATGGCAACACCCAAATACTTATAATCTAACAAATCCTCAACGTTTTCATTTTTTGAGTGGCTGCAGGGGCACGTTTTGGTGGTGGTGGTGGTGGGGGGTTAAAATCAACAATAAGTTCTTTGAGTTTTATTTTTCCGGCTCATGAGGTTCACTCCAGCTATCAAATTCAGCCAGAGTGGATTGAGATTTTCGGAATCCATTCTGGAGATTTTTTAATGTGTTTAGGTTTCGAGAAAACACATCAGGCTTTTGTTGTTTATTCAAGTCTACAAAGGCAATTGGCCTATAACTGGATGGGTTTGCGTGATCGTTGCCTGGTTTGGAAATAAACATAACAGTGGCAATTCGTTCGGAATCTTGGAAAATGTGTGACTGCCACCCCTAAAGGATAATGGTATTATGTTCATTAATTAAGGTGAAACGACAACGAATACCAGTTTTCCCGTGAAAGAGATAGGACTGATGTATTATCAAATTGTTTATGTATTGTAAGAGTGTTTTCCCTTTAGATCTTAATTAAAGAGAAAAATAAATACTACATGTCTGCCGTGCCAACACATCTTTCTTCTGCGGACCATGTAACATCTTCAGTGGCAGGTAGTGACCACGGCGACCGACTGTTGCGATGAGAGTCAATTCCCACTCGGACGAGGCGGTCTTGCACTTCGTTAGAGCAGATGCCTTCACCAACCTGCCACTCGTGAGTATCTCTATGTACACTAGTTGTTCAACCTATAAGATAAGGAAGACTGGCAGGGGGATAACTCTCTATAATTACATCTAGTGCCAAATGCTTAACCGAAACAAATCGAAGAATTGGAATGGCTAACAATGGTTTCAGTAAAACGAGCCCTATCCAGGTAAATCTCAAAGACAGCTAAAATAACATTAACATTTTTCTAAAAGGTCGTTTGTGGTCAATCCTTCTTTACAGCTGTAAATATTGAACAATCCCCATAAAGACAGTGAAAATAAACTAGAAGTAACAGAAATGTGGTTTCATAGCAGACTGTTGAGACTTTTTTGGTAGGAAAAGAAATCAAATTAGGTAGTTCGTAAGTGGGCTGTTCGCTGGTAAAGACATTTAGAAAGAGACAAACAGTTTCTAGGCCTCTTAGATTGTGGGCTTTGAACTTCCAGCTCTCACTGGTAAAATTGAAGACGAATGAAGCTGAGTTGGACCCAGAGTAGCTTACTTGGAGAGCCTTAACAGTAGATGGGGGACAGGGAAAGATAAGGTTAATGTAGCTTTTTGGGGGGAGCACTCGAGCAAAGGAATAAATAAATTAAATGGCAAATCATAATCACCGATGTCTGAGGTATATCCGTCTCAAAATGATGACGGTGATGGTTCTCTGAGAACCTCGAGGAATTCGCATGCCGTCAGTGGTCTAGTGTTTGGGCTACCGGACCCGTAATCGTGAGAATTGACCAAATGTGCCTTCGGCCCACTCTTTAACCAGAGCTTACCCCATTTTCTGCTTCCGTCCTTTCTAAAGGACGCTTTGAAAAACGCTCACTATTAATACATATTCAAAACTTTTGTTCAAAGTTGTGTGCTTTCAGCTACCAAAATAATCAATCTTTTGTTTAGCAAGAAGAGTTTCACACCAGTGTGCATTTTTAAAGCTGATTTTGTTTGTCAAAGGTTGAAATTTCCAAATGGCGGCTCCAAGCAAATATGTGAAAAGGTGAGCTAAAAACTATAAGAAATTATCAACATTTGTAGCTAAAAACCTGATAACGCCTGAGTACTTATATAGCACAATTTATGTTAGCCTATGTTGAACGTTCCATCTTTATTGGCCTCATCATCATTACAGAACTGTGATGGTAGCTTTTCAAGTTTGAGTTTGTGCAATTGCCCTCACCACGAAAACAGCTGACATCTTGTATAGTACATTATTTGCTTTCCTAAATGAATCTCGTGGTAACTTTTTGTGCGTCGATATACCAAGGCAAAGAATAAGATACACAGATGGCCGGAACAACTTTACAACGAATAACACTAAGAAAAAAACCGAGCTGATCAGGAAAACCGACAACAGAAGGGAATGTGGTACCGTGATCGTCAATGTCTGCTCCAGGCCTAACATAAGAAGAAGAAGATACCAGTACGACATGGTCAGGTTCATGGTGTAAACTAAATAGTTAATCTGATTGGTCTCAAAGCGAACAAGAAACAATACGCATGTGTGATATTTTTAAAATGTTTTTTAAAACTCCTAGCCCATTTATATGTAAATGACGCCTTCAGATTAGTAGAGAAAAGTGTTTAATAATATGATGGTGTCCAATATTTTATTACACGCATACTTAGTATGACATGTAACTGTTATACAGGGTCCACACAACGGCTGGATCGGGCCGATCGCCCAACTCGGTAGCGAGAAACTGAAAACAAACACGTTTGTTTTTTGGCGAACGAGTCTGGCGATCGGCCCAATCCCATCCGTAGTGGGCACCCCGTATTACAGATAGAGATTCAAAGAATATAGATGCAAGTCAATGACATGAGAGCAACGATAATGGTTTTTGAAATAATGGACATATGTTATGTATTAAAGTTAACGTTTACAGCAATATTCAGTCTCTTACTTATCACTTTTAGTCGAACGCTCACACCACACGTCACAAAAGAGTAATATACACAAGAGAGGAGGAGAGATAAGGACGACAGGTGTTTTACAGGAAAGAAGCAACAAACTACACCAGAGCACCTGCCAAACACCACTGGTCAATATTCAGTGGGTCAATCGCTCCATGTGTGGTGCAGAATACAGAATTAACCATAATATACTGATGTTAAGCAAAGTCGTGTGCTCAATGAATAACGCTAAGGATAGTGTATGATGATAAGCGAATGTTGCTGTTGGACATAAAAAATAAAACTAAAAAAGAATACATCCCTTTACCACATTCAAATAGCATAGAGAGTGACCTCACGCTTCGAAATGTCGATAAGATTTTTGATACTTCAAAATCGCACAACACTAGTAATGACTCAGACTAATTTTGGAAAATGGGTGGTGCAATTCAGTGGTATAGGCTTAATGCCCCAATTAACATTAGGCCTGTACGCGTATTATTGGGCTGTAAGGGTTGAAGGTGAAATCCCAGACGCTCTCTGGCTAGCCAGCCTCAACCAAGTCAACGCCCTGTCCTTGTCGAGTAGCCTGGGGACCCCTGCTCTGTGTGCAGGAGCAAGGGTTGCAGACGGAGCTCTGGCCAGGAGGTACCATAACCCTGTGA